GGGCAGGAGACATTCTTTTAAAATCAGAGCTCTGTAACTTTTTTCACACAGAGACAAAGTCTTGAAAATATGTGTTCTTACCGTTGTTGCAGCAAAAAGTGCTTGAAAAAAAAAACGTTAAGTAGGCTAGCTTTGTGTTTTACTATAATTTTTGCATAGTGTTTTACTATAATTTTTTGTGCTTATTTTTGGTTCCATTTTTTAAAGTCAGCTGAAATTGTTTTGGGGTGCAGATGAGCTGAAAGACAAATTATTTCTGCTATCTTTTTACCCAAATAACAGTTGCTGATTCCTGTTAATAAATGGAGAATGGATCGGAAGAATACGTTCCTTACTTCTGCAGTCGCTTACTTCCAATTCATCAGCCTCTCGGTTTCTTCCCAATTCCTTATCGCAGAGACTTTCGTTCAGACTACTTCATTCACAAGCCATAATTTATACCTGTAGATTCTTAAAAGATTAAATAACTCTTGAAGTGAAAGGGAGGAGAGTGGAAAATATTTATTCTTTTTTATGCGCTGGTATTTTGATACTTTCCCCACCACAGTCAAAATGTCAGAAAAATTTAATTAAGCCAAATCTTTTTTATTTGTATTATATCAGGAAAGACACAGATATGCACGCAATACACAGGTACAGAGGGATATTACACAGACTGCCCGAGCAACCTTGATATTCTTGGTATATACGTAATCCAAGTTTTGTGCATATCCGAAAGCAAAGGAGGGGAAGAAATAATTGCAAGCTGGACCTGTGGTCGAAAACATCTGCGCTGAAGTAACTGAAGAGGAAAACGGTAGTGATGACCCTTCGTCCTCCAGATGTCGTTGTCTCATGGATTATTGTCTTGTCCAAAAGGGTCACAAAGGTACAATTTTTTACCCTCCCTGGAACAGATCTAAGCAATCATATAAATCACGGTCGTAGTAAACACTGTTTAGTTTTGTTTCGGCAGTCTTTCTAAATGTTTGGCTTCCTTTTAACGTAGAGTGCTGTGAAATGTGTGCACCAGTCGGTGCTGTTCAAAATGGTCCGCTTACGAAATCCGTCGCAAAAGCTTACATAGTAAGCTGGCGATGTTGCGAGCAGCTAAGGTTTTGTCGCCTGATTGCTTCGCAGTGTCTCAGCCCCATCAAGATAGGCGATATCAAAAATAGCAAACCAATAGTGCGCACTGCCAGGCAATGCAGTGTGAGCTGCTGATTGTAAAAAAGGCCGAAAAATCAAAGTTTTCTACTACAAATATCTTCAGCAGCGCGGAGTAGAGCCAGTGCTGCAAACTAGAAGCACTCATCGAAGAATGCTTAATCAGCTTGATTCAGTATTCAGAAAACTGCCATTTAGGTCTCAAATAGTGTTTTGGAAATCATTCCAAGCCGTGATAGGTGCTAATGTGCGTCTGGGACAATGATCAGCCCGCATTGTTTCCTCTGTTTCGCAATTCGTCTATTTTTGCCTTCGCACATTTCTGTACTCAGTACTGAAAATGTCAGAATTTTGCCAGGGCAATGAAAGATTTCAGCAGCAGCTGGTGCATTCGATGTTTCAACAATGGTTATCGTATTCCGTTGTGCTGTTCATGTGCGTTTTCGCAACAACTGTTAGTTCTACTCATAGCATTTTACTTTTGCTTCTCTATTACTTCTATAACCTGCACAAGTTTAATTACATGCATTATACGACAAATTTATGCACAGAACCTTTGCAACTATCCATCCTAGGTAGGACTGGGGAGAAAAGCGTAAGCTATGCACTAACAGCCAGGAAGGATGTGGGGTTGCAGGAATCCTTTTTTGGTGATACTACACTGAAAATTTCAAAAATTTTAAGCGGCTCGAAGGTTAGCGAAAATAATATAAATTAGTAGAGATTACAGAAGAGGAGTGTAGAAAGGATAATTTCAGAGACACAAAAAGTTAGAACGATTCAGTGATAGATGTCACAACCACCTAGCCGACAGTGCACCGACTGTCGGTGCGAAGATAGCTTTTTACACGGTTCCCTCGGAGGTATTGTCTTTTCCGGCAAGATGCTTCCAGCTAAAAGAATTGAGACTGGTCACCACAGTTGTCAGGAAACATTACAATGATTCCCAACAAACACAGTCATGGCCAAGCTGAAAAGAATTTAGCACTTTAAGCGCTTCGGTTGCGGAGTTATGTCAAATCTCACATGTTCGTGCGTGAGGGAAAACGTGGGGAATATATGTTTTTCATTGCACAAGTACACAAAAACACATAAAAACTGCTCTAGTTAGCGTAATTCATTTCGTCGCTACAGAATAGTTTGCATTTACTACGATTATACAACTCCTAAAATGCTTAGTGATACCGCCATCACTCAATACTTTCGAAAGCGCAAAAAATAAATCAAGAATGGGTATCCAATTGACTTGGCTCAGAGCGATAAAAGCTGTGACGGAGAAGTGCGCTGGCACACCCGAGACAGCAAGAAGCACATAAAATTTAGAATAAATGTAAAACATGCTATTCAACTTATAATGACTGTATGTTTTATGTGGCGCAGCAGTGGATGTTTACAGTACAACGGGAGGCGGTATGGGAAATTCCTGCGTTAAAATGCTTTTTGTATAGCCTGGTTGCGAATTCTATATGAAAAAGTCTTCCAACCACGTATTTATGCGTAAAATACAAATAATGGTCAGCGAGGAAAATAAATGTAAAATGCGCTTATATGTTACAAATATTTTGCTATTTACTGTTGCATGTATTTTGTGAAATTAATTTTTAACACAGTGGCCTTCCAACCTTCTTTCACCTTCACTGTTGCAGACGCAGTGTAAAATTTAGCAGAACTTCAGGATGCTATTAATTTGTTTACCATCTCTATGGTATGTTCTAGGGAAGAAGGAAGGGAGCATTCTGAATAAAATTAAAGCGGCAAAGAACAGTCACTCTGAATGTTTTGAAATATTCTACTATAGGCATGTTTGACTATTGGTGCTTTTTTCAACATAAATCTTTTGGGAAAAACCTGGGTTAGATGCGCACTGGTAACGGTATTTTAGTAGGCACCAAACATCATGGGCAGCTAGCAGCCGCTGAACTCCGAATTCGCAGAATTCGCAGTACTATTTTTCGAAGCAATCTTTGTTCGTAGACTTGGCCATGAATTAAGCGGCGCCCAGCCTTTCGCCTCTTCCTCCCAGGTCTGCTTCAAACTCATCATTTGCAGAAATCCGGAAGCAATCTGTACGCTGCCCGAGCATTAGAAAGTTAAAAATATCTACGTATACTGGCTGTGATGAGCAAAAGCAAATGTTTAGCATCAGCTTAACAGGTACCAGAAAAACATATAATGGAAGTTAAACTAGCCATCGTTAATGCCGTTACGGAAGAAGCATGTTAAATCAAGCTTACTTGGTTATTAAGAATAAGTACGAGAATGGCGATGGTACAGTGGAAACAAGCGCTATTCACCGGAGATTGAGGATATCCAGAGGAGTGCAGCATCTGCAGAGTGCTGAAGATCTCGAAAATGCTGTAATAAGGTTTGTATATTGCCCATGCATGGCTCGTAATACGTAACAAAATGCTCTGCAAATTGATAAAAACAGATTGCAGGCGGAAGAAAAACCTTGAGCTAGACGAATGGTTATCAGACGAACAGAAACAAGAAATCCGAAAGGTAAGGTGTCAAAGTCATAAAAGTTAGAAGTCAAAGTTTCTCCGCATTCGCTCTCTATGAGAGGTGGAAGCACTTGGGAAGCAACTTGATTTACCACTCGAGTTCCAAAAGCAGCCACCCGCTAGCAAAGCTGCAGATGGTTATGTGTGTAAAAAGTACAATGACATGCACCTGGAAGGTGTAACTTCATGAAATTCCAGCTTCCTAGCTTCTGTGGTTGCTGAACTGAAAAATTCGAACACAAACACGCACTACATTTTGACAATATCCTTTTGTACATTTGCATGAGGATGTAAAAAAGCATAACCCAGGCTGAAACGCACCAGGCGAGCCGGTGCGATCATGCGTTTTTGCACAATAC